GAGCCCCACGTCGGGCTCCCTGCTCGGCGGGAAGCCTGCTTCTCCCTCTGCCTCTCCCACCCCCCTGCTTGTGTGCTCGTGTGCACACGCTCTCTGATGAATAAATAGAATCTTTAAAAAAAACCACCACCCGGTATCCAGGAGCACTCGTGAGGGTGTGGGGATGCCAGAACCCGCGTGCTCGGCGGCCAGCAATGTTCGATGGTGCAGCCGCTGGGGACAACGGTGCGCGGCAGCTCCTCCAAATTTGACAGCTGCCACGGACCCAGGATTTCCACCCCTAGGTGCACACCCACGTCCACACAAAAACGTGTACGGCAGTGTTCACAGCTGGAGAACTCGTCAAAGCCGCAAGGTGGAAACGACCCTGATGTCCACCAGCCGTGGAGCGGAAGCGGGGTCCGTCTGCAGGCGGCGTGCTGACCAGCCCCGGAGCGCAGTGGGTGCTGCAGGCTGCGGCCGGGGTGACGAGCAGGCAGCCCGCAGCGCGGTCCCACTGGGAGGGGAGGTCTTCCAGAGCAGGGAATGGTGCAGGGACAGGGGCCGGTGAGGGGCGGCGTCGGGCTGGTGCTCGCTGCCGAGGAGACGCTGCAGCATGTGAAGCAGCAGGGCAGACAGGGTTCAGCCTTCGGAAACAGGGGCTGCCTCCTCCGCGAAGTCGCTTCTGTCTGCTGCCCTCTGGACCCCTCATACCAGCCTCGTCTGTCCCCAGGGCGTGCGCTTCTGAGACCCACCGCACCGGACCAGCCCCAGCGCTCTGGCCTCTCCTTCATCCACGCCTGCGCTCCCAGCCACTACCCTCCTCCCCGCCACTGACGCGGCTTATCCCCCCTGCAGCGGGCCCCTCCAACAAACCCCCTGCTCCCAGCGCTTCCGCCGCCCTTCTAAGTCCGCCGGGAAAGCCCCAGGACGTGGCGTGGCCGCTGCAGCCTCGTGCACAAGACTCTGAAGGCCGGAGGCACCCGCTGTTTTCCCAAGGACACCGCACCCCCAGGCCCATCCTCTCAGACCGACAGCCTCCCCTGGGCCACGCATCCCTGATCCCGTCCTCCTGCTCTTCTGTCCAGGCCGCGGGCAACCCCGCCTCGGACGTGCTGCATCTGGGCATCTGGCCCCCCCGCACCCCGCCCCATGCCGCCCTGTGCGTAGCAGGTGCCCCACACGTGTGTGCGGCTCTCACGGAGGCCCGCGTGACGAGTGAGCACACCGACACCCAGCAGCTCACACGCGAGGGCGCTCCGAGCCAGTTCCCACCCTGGGTCTGCAGGCGCGGGGTGCGGGGAGGGGAGGCCGGGAGAGCCGGGTGCAGACGCTGGGGCAGGCAAGGGACGCACGCCAGCCTCCCTCCAGGTGACGCGTCCTGCGCGCCAGGGCCCAAGGCCGCCACGCTCACCTGCTTCTCGGCAAAGTGGTACTGACAGAGTTTCTTCCACAGATGCCTGTCCTCGCTGAGCATGGACAGCGTCGGGGTCACCTGGCCTAGTGTGACAATGTCCCAGCCATCGGAGAGTCTGTACAGGATGTTGTTGAGCATGTGCAAAGGGAGGTCACTGAGCGTGAGGCCGTCGTTCACCTGCGGGAATGGAAACGGACAGGGTTTCACTGCATGTGATGCCCAGGCGTGCCAGGCTCCAAGGAGACCTAGCGGCCCGCTGAGAGCGGGTGCTTCAAAATGCGACACAGCCAAAGAGACACGACCAAGGCGTCGCCGTCCCTCACACTCGGCCACGTGAGCCCTGAGCCCCCACGTCAAGAGACGGCTGGCCGCACGGGGACCCCGGAGGAGAGGCGGGAGCAGAACAGAGGCCGGTCTGTGCCCTCGGCTCCTCCAGGCTCTGTCCGTGTGCAGGATTCGCTCGTCAGACACGACACAGAGACCACGTGGAGAGACGGCAGGGTCCGAGGACAGAGGAAACAAAGCCACCGACCTGCCACCAAGGCCCCGTCCAGCTGTCAGCATCTGGTATCAAACGTAGAAGCCACACCCTCCCTCCCACAAGCCTGCGGGTGTGTCCCCAAGAAAGGGCGCGACGTGGTGGGCAGAACCCGTGCGTCGTCCTATCGGGAGGGAGGGGAGGACGCAGATGGACAGAAGAGGGGAGCGCGAGGGGACAGAACGGGGGGCCGGCAGAGGGGCGGCAGAGGGGCGGGGGGCAGACGACAGTGTCGCAGCCCCGGGCTGGGCACACACCCACGCCACCTCGCACAGAACGAGCCTGCACACCTGGCCGCAGCCTCGTGCTTCTGACGGGGCTCACTGTCCTTGTCCCCAGTGGTCAGCCCTGATGACGGCTGGCTTCTTTCCGGCTTCTGCTCTCTTCGGTGACCCCAGCGCCCCCGCACACAGCGCACATCCACAGAGACATGGCCAGAGCGGGGCTGCAGGGAGGCGCTCAGAGGCCGGCTGTGCCGCTTTCCGAGTCCTTGCTGCTGCGGCGTGGCCATCCTGTTCAAGAAATGCGCTCCTGGCACTGCGTGTGCGGGGACCCGGGAGGAGGCGTCCTCTGCCGCCCGGCGGGGTGACGGCTCACGGCTCGTCTCGGAGGACGCCTCGGCGGCAGCCCCTGCCCATGGGGTCCTCGCACCGGCTGCCCGTCTGGGGAACAGCCGGGTGCCCACGATGTCACCATGCAGCGTGGTCACGCGTGTGTCTTTGGGTCCCGCCATCCCACGGCCACGTGCGCCTGCTCCCCGACGGGCTGCACGGCGTGAGCGGGTGACAAGGGGCTCACACGGAGCAGGTGTGACCACAGGGTCTCGTGGGCTGGCCCACGGCAGAGCACACACAGATCGCACACGCGTGTGCCGTTCCCGGCCAGGTCTTCACGCTGTTACAGGAACGACGGAGACGCGTTCTGAACGGCTGCTTGGTGCCTCCTCCTTTGAAGAGGAGCTTGCGCGTCAGGAGGAGCTCGTGGACGCCCCGCTGCGAACATCCCGAGCTTGCCAGAGTGTGAGGTGCTACGAGAAACCCTGGATGCACGAGGCGCGAGAACCCGGCACCGCGACATGGTCTCCAGGCCCGAGGTGACCGCCAACAAGGCACGTGGCCGCCACACCAGCAGCTTCCGTCGAGACGGCTGTGACCAGTCCGACGTGAAGGGGCACGAGCGGCCCGCTGGACAGTCCATCGGGGGCGCGGGGCCTTCAGCTCAGCCCCCAATGCCTGGCTCAGCCATTTCCCGCATGAACCCCTTAACTGCATCGCTGTGCGCGCAGGAACACGGCTCTGGGAGGCCTCGCTAGCGCAACAGCCACAGTGCTCCCCGCTCCCGTGGAAGCCGATCTGTCCTCACTCGGGTCCCTCACGCTGCTGTAGCTCCCGGGGGACCGAGGACAGAGAACCTGGCGCGTGAGGGGCCGTCGAGGGCTGTCCCGCCTCCCGCCCGTCACTGCCTCAGGGAGCTCTTGCCACCTTCCAGCACACAGCGGCAGCAAGGCGTCTGTCCCCACGGGCTGGACCCCGGGCTCAGGCCCCAGGACTCTCGCACCAAGGCCCCTCCTGTGCACGAGCTTGCCTGACCCCAGGACACGCACCGTCCCGGCTGTGTCCTGCCCGGGCTGCTCGGCTCCCAGCACACAGTGACCCCCCGAATCCAGGCTCCCTCCCATCTGGCCACACACTTCTCTTCCCGAAAAGGCCTTCGGCCCCTGGTTTTGCAGCGGCCGCCGGAGCTCACGGGGCCACATCTGTGCGTGTGAGGAGTCAGCGTGACCGCAGGAGACACCATCACCCCCGGCTGGGGCTGCAGGGCATGAGGCCACAGGAGAGCCAGCTCCGAGCGTGCGGCCGGGCCCCGTCAGGATGGCGTGCCCACCACTGCCCTCCGTCTGTGCCGCCCCCAAGCTGGTGTCAACAACAGAAAGACCCTAAAGGAGGCCAGTGGCTTTTTGGTCCTGCCAGCCGGCCGAGGTGAGGAGGAGAGACCCTGCCTCTGGTCTTTCCCCTCCCGCCCCCCTGTCTGTGCTGAACACACACTTCTCTCTAAATGGCGCACTTCCCAGCCTCAAGCTCCCTTGCTGACCACAGAGCCCCACTGGCCGCCTGCCCCCACCCAGCTCACTCACTGCGGTGGCACCACCATGCGGGCCGGCCACGTGAGGGACCAGTGGGACCTGGGGCGTGGCCGTTCGTGTGAGGCTTCCACACTGTGCGCGTGTTCACCTCACAGACGGACCTCCCGACCACAGCCCTCAGCCGTGGGGGACACGTGTGACGGCTCGTCTGGACCCGCCTCACTGGCACTGAATGCAGGACCCCCCTTGTAACTTCAAGCCGTACTTAGGGAACCTCGACTCCTCTGTAAACCTCATGTTTACACGGCAAAGGGCTCAAAGCTGAGGCTTCCCACGGTCACTCCCGACAAGAGCCGCTCTCACGTGGGGCCCCGGACGCAGGGGTGAGCACGCAGCGTCACCACGCCGGGAGGGCGGTTTGGAGAAGATGGGTCGCCTCTCGGGCCCTGAGAGACATGTTCCGTTTATTCTTTCTCTTACAGAGCCCCAGGGAGGCACAAAATACCCCAAGACGCGGACCTGAGCCGACAGTGTTAACACTCCTGCGGGTGAAACTAGTTCCTGGGATAAACAAACCCGAGCAGAACCAGCGGCGTGACCTGCACCATCTTCTCCCCTGGTCGCCCCCGTTCACTCTGCCCGAGAACCACGCACGACCCCGGAGGACAGCAGGGAAGGGGCAGCATGGACGCCGCGTCGCGCGGAGTCACTGGCAGAACAAGGCAGCCGTGACTCGGGGGTGGGTGTCTTAGCCCCCGACCTCTCATTTTCCCCCGAAGGCTCGTCACCCGTCCCCTTCTCCACGACGACCATCCCCACTGTCTGCCCAAAAGCAATCTACGCCACCACAGGGCCTTCTGGCCCAAATGCACCTGAAAACAAACGTTCCAACAAGCGGTCAGGGTCTTTCACGCGCCCCTGCGGGGGCTGAGGACTCTCGCATGTGACCCAGAGCGCGTCCCGCACCTTAGTGACCTGCAGGTTCTGCAGCTGCTGCTGCCAGTGGAGGATGGTCTCCAGACGGCAGATCCAGATGTTGATGTTTCCCACCAGCACGGACTTCCCGACGCCCCGGATGAGGATGCACAGGGTGGAGCTCAGGTCCTGCAGGAGGTCCTTGATGAGGCGGGGGTTCTGGTGGTCGTCGAGGACTGGAACGCACAAGAACACAGACTGTGGGAAGGCGAGAGAGACCCAGCGCCACGCGTGGACACACCACGGAAGGGGAAGGGGGTCCCGACCCGCGCCCAACATGTGCGAACCCAGGGGGCGTGGTGTCGACGGGACGGACCCCGCATGACTCCGCTCAGAGCGGAGGGGTCAGAGTTTGATGGGACGGGGGTCAGTGCGGGACCACGGGACGTTCTGGTGGCAGGTGGAGAATGTGCTTCATGCAACCAAACTGTGTGCTTAAAAATGATTAAAATGGAAAACTCAGGGTATGTGTATTTCACCACAATAAAAATAATGAGCTAATTTCACTGCGACCCCAAACTGGCATCATTTGAGACACAAGTGTGATGAAATTTAAAAAAGAACATCAAATATTGCCTGATAGTGTGATTCTAGTTGCATCGACAATTTTGGCTTTAAAACTGGCAGTGTGTTTTCCCTTACACTCATCCCAAGGAGCTTATACACGTGATCATCAATTCCCACACACGCATAAACTCATGGCGTGAGCGTTAAAGTTCCTTTTACTATCGGCGAGTGATCGATCAAGACAGACTGAAGATAAAGCCTCAGGCTCCTGTGAGGCCACGCTGGTTACGGAGGCGCACGGCTGAGGCGACAGGTGAAACTTCCCTGAGACCCGGGGGTTCTTCATCCTCCTGTAGGAACAGCCCGTCCGATACGACGGCGTTACGTGGACGGAGGAATGAAGAGAAGCCCCATCTCCTCACACTGCGCTGTTTATCAGACACGTCGGTCACCAACTTACCCTTCCGGACAATTTTGTCCAAAATGTTGAAGTAATTCTTCTGCGCCACGCCGCTCAGCGACGTTAACTGGGATTTCGCAATTAGCTGCAGGAGCTGAAGGAGGAAAGGACGCACGTTACTTAGTTTGCAGGCAGAAGCCACAGGGCCCTGCCGCCATGCTGCCTTGTCCTCTTCAGAGACCCCACGCCTGTCACTGTCTATGGCGTTCGGTAGTCTCTGAGGGTGGGACATGGTTTCAAAGGGCAGATCCCAGGACACTTTTACCTCAGGCAGGTTCTCCTGAAGGCTGTCTTTAAACGTTTAAAGACGACGTTCCTGGGACCCACCTTTCCCTTCGCGTTCCGACCACAGGGCTGTCTCCGTGGCCTCTGCAGCTGAGGGGACCTTTGGTGTCCCCTTCACACTCGCCCTGTGTCCTCCTTCCTCATCTGCCCACCCATGCCCCTGCGTCCCCGTGTCCGCTCCTCTCAGGCCCCTCATCCACCCCACCAGCACCTCTGGTGCCCATACAGACCACGTCCGACTCCCCACACCCCCCACGGGGATCTGCCTCCATGGCCACACCCCGGACAGGACGCCGAGGGGCCGGGTGGCGGCGTCACGGCTCCCTGATGCGCCTCTGCTCAAGCTGCGTCCTGCACTGGTTCTGCGGGGACCCCAGTACTGCTGCCCTCCACACAGGGAACCCAGAGCCGGGCCCCCCTGGCCAAGTGGGAACACACCTGCTCACTTCTCCCCGGACTGTTCCCGCCAGGTCGACGCCGCTGTGAGTAATTACGCCTGCCTCCTGGTTCCGTGAACACGGATGCCCTACCTGCCCTCCCGCTCACCTTGCTGGTTTCCAGAGGGAGAAAAGGAACACACGCAGACTGCGGGTGGTACAAATAGGACGATCACGCAACCATCTTCGGGGGAGAAAGCATCTAGTAACGCTTCTGCAAGCGTCCCCTCCTGCAGTGGTCACAGACACACGCCGCAGGGCACCGCCCACCGCCCCGGGCACATCAAACCGGACCAGCCTGAGACAGGCCCAGTCCTTCCCCCGGCTCCAGATCTTATCACCCACAGGTCGCCCCCACCTGCCGGCTTCAGAGAGCCTTCAGTGACGTAAAATTTCATAATGTGATTTTTAAAAGTCTTCTCAATCTCACACATTTAACAAAAAAGGAATGTAACTGAAACTCTGTAATACAGAGCGTTCTAACCAGCCGTCCTGAGCCTGAGGAGAACCGTGACCCCGACCCTGGACCCCCGCAGTCTGGGCTGGTGTCCTGGGTTGGCTTCGGGGCCTGAGACACCCCCCTCCCCCGCCATCCCTCTGCTCAGAGGCCAACGGGCGTCCCGACACAGACTGTGTTTGAAACAAGCCTCCCGTTTGGGGATCAGCTTGAGCGCACGGTTTGTGAGTCGGGATTCCCACTTCTTGCTTTGTCCCTTTTCTCCCCTTTCCCCAGGACTCTTGTCTTATTCACAGACTTCTAGAAGCAGCAGAAGGACCGCTATTTCCTTCAAATTATATTGTGACGCAATTTACAATTTTACTCCTGTTACTGGACCCCTCGGTGGCCCTGTCATCATGCAGGGTGTCTTGTTGACAGTATCGGTGTGGGGACAGAGCCGGGCTGGGTCACTGCAGACCCGTGAGACGGACCTTTCAGGTTTCTGGAGGACGTGCTTCTGCCCTCTAAAGAACAAAAGCCCACATTCCCAGTGTTCCCACGCCGACACGTACCCGTCTACCATGATCATCAATTTATGCTGCATCACTAAAAATGTCAGACCTAAACATCGAATTTAATTTTGCTGAGGTCAAAGTGTCAAGTTAGTTGAAGAGCACTTTCTTCGACTGAAAACCGGTGTCTCTCACAATACCGAATGTGAAATACGAGTATCTCAAAATTACATACAGTTTTAATATACAATTTTAAACAAAAGACACAAATCATAAAACTATCTTCCAAAGGTGATAGAACGATAAACAGAAAAGCCGGGAAAGGGTCAACCTCTGAGGAAGAAAATCAGGCCACGAAGACACCCACGGACGGCGCGTCGGCCAACACATTGTTAGGAATGTCCTACTTGTCCAGTCACATGCTAGACACACACACGCTCATGATACTATCATATTGTAGTAAATATATTCTTTACTAAAGTAAAACAATGAACAAGAAAAATAGGCATCTGCATGAGGCCCCACACTGTCATTTCTTGGTCCCTCCCCTTTAATGAATCTTGTTCTTAGGAGAATTGACGTATTTTGCTAGTAGCTTTAATCCAACATGTTTATGGGGAGATGATTTACCAAACACCTGGTGTGGTAGCCTACAGCTGATTCCTGAATCGACAGTAAGGAAGATTTAAGAAGAATATATCTTTTTTGTGCTAAGGAACACAGAAAACATCTTTTTGTGAAGAATCTTAAGTTCTATAACAAAGAATGAACTTTCTCCGTTTCTAAATATCCAGTTTTCTTGAAAAGAGGAGGAACTGTAGATTCAGTAAAACAACGAATAAAAATTTAGAGTATCCTACAAGCCAGTTTGTACCTTCAGCAGAATTTGTGGTGAATATTTAACAGCATAGGAAGTAAGTGGCCTAAGTCACCAAACAATTCACATCCACAGCAGCTCGTTCGACCCGTTTGCCCACTTTAGGAAGAACACGCACCCCCTGATCTACAGGCGCTGGTCGTGGTGCTTGGCGGGGAGTGGGGTTCCTACATGGCGATCACTCACCTGCGACCAGCAAAAGTGTGGCTCAACAGGATCGGGAACCTTAGAGTTCTTTTCAACAGTTCGAAAGGCCACCATTTCAAGATGTCACGGACACATTTAGGAAAGTCACTTGTTTTCCCTGAGAGGGAAAGTTCTTAAAACTAAGAACGGCAAGGTCTCCATCGTCGGGGCGGTAGTGTGTGTGTCCCCTGGCCCCTCCTATGCCCTAAGGCACCCCTCCCCACCCTGACATCTCGGGGCATAAATGGGCCTGTCCACGGCTGTGGCCCCTTTGTCTCAGTCACCCTGAAGAGATCATCCCAACACAGCCAACATGGAGCAGGGTACCATTTAACCAACGCACTCCCCACGGCAGCCTTCAGAGGTTCAGAAATGTGCCCGGGGGCCCCGGTAAATAAATGAGACTGAACCCAGACAGACAGCAAGGCTCCCTGCCCACCACCCGCCTCGGCCCCTCCCTGTGCACCGTGGCATCAACTGGGGATACCACACAGTCCTCGGCCGAGGTTAGGAGAGAGCTCAGAAACGTTCACATCAGGAGATATTCTAGCCACAGAGGTCTTTCTCCTTGTCTTCATGACCCCACTATTTAAAGGATCTGTGAGACACTCCGGAAACAGGGAGGAGGTCATCCTCCAAAGCAAGTAACACTGGAACACAGACGTCCAGGACAAGAGGGGGCCGAGGCCGCGAGGGTCTGGGGAAGCAGCCGCCTGAAGACAGAGGGGCCAGCTCCAGGTACCAGGAGCCCACGTGGCCCCTGCGGTCCCTGTGGTGGGGGAGGCGGGCCTTCCTTCTGGAAGCTGACGAGACAGACACGAAAAGCTGATTGGTAACGGAGGGAAACAGAAACAGATGACCCCCTGAAAAAACCTTCCTCCAAGAGCAGGAAAAATTCTCTTAACTTCAAAACTAACTCAGGACACAGGCCCACCGAGGAAGAGCCCGGGGGGCACTCCCGGGCAGTGGCACGCTCTGTACCCGACTGTCCACACCCGTCAGCAAGGGTCCCAACGCCAGCCCCAGTGGCATCAGGGTCGTCCACCCCTCCCCCAAAGTGAAGGTTTTCACAGGTTCCGCTACTTGTCCTCCAGCGCTGGGTCAGTCTGGAGCCGTGGCTGTGAAGCTGCCGTCACCCTGGACCCGGACGCTGGCTGCACCTTCCACGTGACACCTCAGGAGAGCATCCGAGCTTTCTGCAGCTGGAACCGTCCTCCCTCAAAACACTGTGAACAGTCGTGCTCGGGCCCTCAGGGAAGAGGAGTATGCACAAAACATGGCTGTTCTTCCCGCGGGTCAAACACCCCGCAGTCCCGTCAGCCTCCGCTGGAGCTTCCCACGGCTGCTGGGGCCATGCGCCAGGCACTGGGTGCTGGGAACACGGGAGACCCGTTGTCTCAGCTCCAGAAGCTCGGAGCCAAGCCCTGCGGCTGCCCGGGATCCAAAGAACCCTCCTCAGCCCGCCTCACCCCGGCTCCTGGGGGCACCCGGGGGAGGCCCTTCCCCTCCTCACCTCGGGCTCCTGGGGGCTCCTGGGGGCTCCTGGGGAGGCCCCTTCCCACCTCACCCAAGCTTCTCATTTTAAGGCTCCATGTGGACATAGACTTTTAGGGTTTGGTATTCAACCCCACAGATTCACTACTTAGAATTATTTCCAAGGAAAGCATGATAATTCTGATGATTCGAATGCAGCAGTTACATGGTACCCACCAGTACCCATCAGAACAAAGTACCCACCAGTAAAGGACATAAACAAAACTCCACAACTCTGAACTTTTCATGTGGGCACCGTGGGCAAGACGTGGGCCTTTTGGGGCATCCTGGGGGTCCGGCCCTCCCGCCCGTTCACACTGCATCTTTCCTTGGGGGGCGGGGGGGGGGCAGAGCCGCGCAATCCTGACCTGCTGTATCCTCCTGGTCGAGTTACTCAACCACCCCTTACAGAAATCTGGTTTCCACCATTTAACTTTCTTCTGAGCCAGGAAGCTGCTGAAATACTCTTTCAGAATACCGTATGCACTTTTGGAAAATCCCACCTCTCCAGTGAAACGCTGCTACCGGGGGACTCTCGGTCCTGTGAGACACCGTCTCGTCTGAACTGGAATCTCCCACGACCCACCTCTCAATGACTAGCCTCATGGCTTCGTTTGTTAGCCGTGTAGAAACATGTATAAACATTAACATTTGCTCATCCCCTAGTGTGACTAAGGGATTAACAAACTCCTCTCACAGGAACCCAGGATGAGTCGGGGCCTAAAGAGACTACGGACAGGAGGTCTGCAAACAGTCCCATCCCCGGGCACGCCTGTTCCCCAAGCAGGTAACGAACCCTGGGGAATGCTGAATGTTTGTTAGCAATATTGCTAAGTATTTCTGTAATTAAATCATGGAGGGCACACTCAAGTTTCATAAAACTAGAAAGGACACACTACGCAACCCCGTCCTCGACCTCATGAAAGTGCCCCACGGAATTCCGACAGGTGAGCGAGGGAACAGCTTCCTAAGCCAGGT